AAAGTGTGTGTACATGTAGCATTATCCAAAAAACTATCAACCCAAATATGTTGACTTGGTATTTGATGATTGATGCTAAACCTATAGGAGGAACTGCCATATTAATGTTTTTCTACTACTTCTGGTATGGATTCAAATATTTTGGTTCTGTTTAAAAGTTAATTACTTTTTACTAAGGCAGGTTTTGTTAATAGAACGTAACTTTGAAAATCATATTTTAATAACTTGAAAGTAAGCGAATAAAAGTACGTTTCACTTACTTTTAAGTTTGAAGTAAACAAAATATAAGCCACTGGCTGGAAAAAAAAAAGAAGCACGAAAGCAGTAGCTGCAGAGAAATTCATACATAGAAGTATTTCCAGGCAATGATACAGCAGTATGTCTGAAAGAGGGTAGGGGTTCACGCTATTACATAAATGAAATCACACAAAATAAACAGCTAAAATTAAACCTGTCGGATATAGATAAGATAATTATATAGATAGTTGCATATATTCATATATATGTATGTGAGAATATTGAGTAACAATCCCCACTAATATTTAGGAACCCACACAATATGATCCTGAGGAAGGAAATGGCAGACTGGAACTGTCCCTGGTTTCACCTTCAGCACCTGAAAAGCCAAGTGTTTTGGGTTCCACGCCGCCGTATCCTTGTGACAAACCGCAGCCGCTTTCACCTTGGTGCCGTCGTCCCCCACCATCGCCACCTTGTAAGACACGGTGGTTTCTGTCTCGTGGCAGTAAAAAACAGCATATGGATACTTCTGCTTGTGGCAAACTACTGCTTTCTCCTCGGACAATTTCTTGACCCCGACAATTTTGTAGTTCTGCAATGGAGTTTCCTTCTCTGTCTCAGTCGAAGCTGCCTCGACTTTTCGTCCCAGTTTGGAGGTGCAGAAATCGACCATGGATTCCAATGAAGTTGCTCAGTACCTTTCTTCTCCTTTTATCCCTGTCTCGTCGCATTCTTGGATAGTTTTCTTCATGATTTCAGCTTTTTCTGAACTGGGATACAGGGAAAATCTATAAGAATTTCTGGAAACTTTTTGGATGAAAACGGAATTGAATCAGCTGATAAGTGTGTTTTGCACACTTATTTAGGTCACAAAACATGGAAAATTGTTGATGTATATGTTGAAATATGACTTAATTCGATATAATTTGTGTTTGTAGGATTAAATTGATGGATGAAATGAAGAGTATGAGAAAATGAACGAAACATGACCAAAATTGAAGAATATGAAATTCCGAGGACCAAAATGCCATTATTCAAAAGATGACTCCGAATGGCGAATCAAGCATGGAA